TTATATTTTTAAATGTATAAATTTTCCATCAGCCAATTTTATTTGGTATTAGTTTTACGTTTGTAGTATTGAGAGTCCAAGTTTACAGTAATATCGCCACTATGTAAACCTCGTTAAATAAGTTGTTGCGAATGAGTTATTAGAAAATTAGAAGGAATACAATAAATAAATAATTTATCTTTCTCATATTAATCCAATCGCATATGCCACTTGAAATAGAATAATGAACTTTCAATAAATCTCATTTCTTGGAAGGTTTTTAATCCATCAACTGAATCAACAATCTTCTTCGCAATAATTGCGACGTTTTTTCTACCATGTTTATTAGTCAGCAACTTTTGTAAAAATTTAAACGATTTCTTTAAAGATGTCTCCACGAACATGAAACATTGCTTTGAAGAATTTTTGATGTTAGCAATCATAAATACTAAATTACACAATCAGATCAAATTACGTCATAATGTATTAAACCATTTTTTAACAGATTTAAATCAAACATGATTTTTATGATTGCGTTTTAAAACATTTGCCATCCCTAGATCTACATAGTGCATCGAACACCTCAACGTAGTGTGTTAAATAACAATAATGATAATAGAATTCCGGGTTGGTGGGTCACAAAAAGTTAATACGTATATAATACAAAACCGATTACGTATTGTATACAAGTTTGGACTTAATTTTTTGATAGGGCTGGAAATGGCAAGAGTTGTAACGTGATAAAATTTTTCCGAAAAAAAAAAATACATGAACAAAATAAACACCTTATTTTAAATTTTGATAACGATAAGCAAAATTGTATGTGATTGGATAACATTTTCGGACGAATAAAATCGACATATAAGCATTTTTATTTGTCAAACTAAACATTTAAATGCATATTTTCCTCCAACTCGTAATTATTTTTAATAGAAAAATAATATTTTTAACATGAACAAAATATTCATGACATATACAGCGGACGAGCTTGATTATTTCGTGCACCCCGAACAGGTGAATTTACAATTTTCGGGTTCATTATTAACTTATTTCCTATTGATTCTTCTAATTTCCTCTTTCTGGTAATCACCTGCACCTTCTTTCGACTAAGTTCGCATAGCATATTCTTCGTTTCATCCAGTTTCTTTTTGTATTCCTTCAACACAAGGTATGCAAGTTCCAAGTTATAAAGGTCTTCACGAGAGGATGGGAGAAAAGCCTCGTACATTAAGACCAAATGAAATAGGCCACCAGAAGCAGCAAAAGCGTACACTCTGATCTTACGGCCTAATTTCCATTTTTGATTAGCATTTATACACTTATAGATTATAGTATGTTTTGAAATTGTTTACGTCTTCAGGTTAGAACACTTACCAACCACTGTAAGACCCCACCAGATCAATTTATCCGCATCCGTACCCTTCAATTGACCTTCAGCTATCGCCCATAGGTCCCGGAGTTCTAATCCTAGTTTAAGGGTAGTATCCCATTCTTTAGACCGTGAACACCGTGGAAGACCACCAGAAACCTCTAAACAGCCAAGAACTGGGGTCCAACTAATATTCTGGTATTCGATCGCTGCATCAACTTTAAATCCAATTCGTGCACGGTCATTTGGATCTCTCTCTTTATTTCGGCGTACAGCTGTTGCTTCCAATGATTGTTCGCCACTAAATAAAAAATGGTTTATTTCGTATGTAAACAGGTAATTTATGTTTTACAATTAACCTACTTACTATTTCACCCAAAAATAGCTATCTTTTCCTATTGTCACGTCTAACAAAGGGACGATATTACGAAACGTGTGTTCAACTTCAGGTAAATCATTCTTTCTAATCATTGTTATGGAATCAAGGCTAGAGAAGACATACAGCCATAAGATATTATTTATCTGTAAAGTAACAAATTATATATCTATATTTACATGCGGCTGAAAAGCTTTCTGAAAGCTTTTTCCTCCCCTGTTACTGCTAGTACGTCATCAATGTCCTCCGCCTACAAATAAAAAATACATTAATATGCACGTTTTAATAGATTTATTGTTTTCGGACAAAAAATTATTAATTACTATCAAGAGTTTGTCAATGAATTTCCCTTCCTCCTCAGTTAGTTTTGGAACACAAAAATGCATCTTCGGAAGTGCACTTGACATTTGAGGAAAAACATCAGATAATAACTTTAACGTTGGACTATGAAAGCCAGAATGATCGATCAAATAATAATAAAGGGGACTGAAAAACATTATCAAATTTTTAGCAATGTCGTAAATACAACTATTAGAAGTAAAAGTAAAAGAAACTCACTCGAAGGCGTATTTTGTCTTTTTTAGTTGTTTACGATATGCTTCAACCTTATGTATAACCGCTTCCCGGTCTAGATCTTCTAAGTTATCCTCAATAATGTGGACAACAGATGGCTCTTGAAGGTCTAACTCCATCTCATCTTCATTAACCTCTTTACAAGTCTCAGAAAAATCTCTTTCATCATTTGTGCTTACACTCGGAGGGTTGGTCTCTTGAAGGTCTAACTCTATCTCATTTTGAGTCTGAGTGAACGATTAAAATTAGCGAAGGTTTAATTTAATATAATGTATGTTGCAGCTGATGCTGAAAACGGCTGAAGCTGAAATTTGGGGTCTCGATTTAAAAATATAAGCCCTGCTAAAATCCACATATATTTGTTAATTATCAAGTCTAACCCTAAACACTAACTCAACTATAAAAAAAAAGCACCCCAAAAAATTTTAAAAAATTTATATCAAAATAGATCCGAATTTCAGCATCAGCTGCGACAATGTATTTCAAGAATAAATCACACCTTACAACTACTATTTATATTATCGTCCTTAATATCTGTTGAAGACAATTGAATATATGGAGAGGATGGTGACTCGTTCGACTTCAACTTTGCCTTTTTCAGCTATGACAATATAAGAAAACATTAAATAATTTTAATTTAAGCTATATAAATTCGATAAGCAATTAACATTATTTTACAATTTTACGCCTTTTGGAAATATCATCTAATTCATCACTAAAAATAAATACAAAGAATTTAATGTCAAATTGTCGACTATTGAAAAAGTAATACATAAAGTAAATATTACGTTGAAATGTATTCGGACGAAGAATCTAACTGTGTATTCTCTTCATCTGATTTCTGATCAACTTTCTTCACCGGGATCAAAGATCTGAGATTATATTGGTGTACTGCACTTGTTGTGCTAATAGCGTTTATGACTCCATTAGTTGTCACTTTTGCAACTTGTAATCTCCCCTCTGCCTTGTATCAGAAATTAGAAACCAAGTAATAAAATAAAAACAAAATAAAAAAAATTATAGTTAAAGAAATAAATCTAACAATAATTAATTATTTTTTTGCAAGCCAACCAATACATACACTTACTTGTACAATCTTTAGTTCTTTTTCTAACTCAACTTCTTTCCAAAGTGCGGAAACCCTCGGGTCGGACATTTGGTACTAATGAAAAAAAGAATGTATATAGTGCAGAATGATTTTGACTCGGAAGTATCCATGTATAGTCATTAGTAGTTTATTCATGACGAGCTAGAAGGTCGTCAAATACCCACGACGAGCTAAAAGGTCATAAACAAGACGGCTAAAAGGCGTCCTGCGTAGTCGTAGTTAAATGGTCGACCTACGACGAGCTAGAAGGTCATCGTCACAGTTAAATGGTCGAAAGTTGTTTAATGACGAGCTAGAAGGTCGTCAGTACCCACGACGAGCTAAAAGATCATAAACAAGACAGCTAAAAGGTGTCTTGCGTAGTCGTAGTTAAGTGGTCGACCCACGACGAGCTAAGTCATCGTCGTAGTTAAATGGTCGAAAGAGCGGCTAACAGATGCTCAGTTTTACCACGACGAGCTGAAAAGTCACAACAAGACAGCTAGAAGGTGTTCTGAATAGTCGTGGTAAAACCTCTAGTCTAATGCGCTTACCTTTAAAGTATAAAGTAATTGCCGGGCTCGTTTAACTTTTCGATAGCTATATTTTTTTTCTAAATTTTTTTCAATTGTCTTTAGATTGACCTTAAGCCAGGCGTTCTCTTTACGAAAGATGCCACTAAAGTCACTTTGTGATCTTCGAAAATGGTAGTATCCGTGAACAGTCCAACTTTGAGGTGGCGCGTCAAAGTACGAGAGATTTTTGTGCATGAGTTTAATGTTAAATATTCGCATCAGATATCGATATAGGGGTCAATTAAAACGCGTTTACTATTGCAGTATTGGTCATCGGTTCGCGTACTCGAGGTAGGACCGTCCATGTTACACAGACGATCCAATTGATAAAAAAAATTTTTTTATACGTTTTACAATACTTTT